TGGAGTCACACAAAGTATCGAGCAAGGCATATGAAAAGGTATAAATTGTTAATGTACAATTTAGAATATTTTAAGACTGATGCAGTTCCCCATGTTTCAGTCAGAAGATACTGGATTTTTAGTGCTACGCTATTTATTGTAATGGACTTTAAATTGGGCCCTTCGATAACTTCTGTCTTAAGTAACAATTCAGAGTTGTGCTATTTGCTCTCTGAGTAACTTTTAACACTTCTTGGAGGTTGTGAATAATTGTTCGGTTTAATTTTTGGATGTTTTTTTATGTTTGGTTTTTTTTTTCCTCCAGGGCTTCAAATTAAGCTTTTGCTTTTTATTTAATTTGTGACTGGAACGCTATTCATTCTTTTGGCTGGATTCAGCCTTCAAAGGTTTTCTTTCAACATAGAGTAGAAGTCAAACTAAACAAAATCTTGGGCATAGACCAGTATGTTGAAAAGTAAGGGGGGATGACTTGTATTTTCAAAGCTATTTAAGAGTAATTGGACATCCGCATCCCTTTAGTATTCATGGAAGTTTGGCATCTAAATGCAGCAGACAGCTTTGAAAACCTGCCAAGGCTTTAACACTATACATTCTGATATTTTCTCTTTGTTTGGTAGAAGTGGGTAGGGAGATTTGAAAGAAAAAAATCTTGTTGGCATTTTGATACGAAAAACCTCCATGGAAATTCCTGGAGAGAGGAAAAGGAAACCAGCACCTCCTGCCCCTGGGTGTGGGGATACAGCATGATGCCTCTGCAGAGTTACTTCAGTGTCTCCACTGTCACTGGTTGTGCTGTGGAATTAAATGCTCACAGATTTAATGGAAGCCAAAGATGTTTAGCTGTCCAGATGAAAGCAGAACTGGGCCAAGTTCCTCTCTTATATATTTTATTTTGTCCTGGTACTTGTGTTCCTTGCAACAGTGCTTAAAAGTGGGGCCACACTGTGCTTGACACATTTGCACATAAGTAGAAACTGGACCCTATCTCAAGGGGTTTACAGAGAAAAGAATGGATTCTGTTTGATGGGAGAGCCAGAGCTGGATAGCAAGTTAGTTTTACATTTTCAGTTTGTTTCTTCTGCTGGAGGATGGCTCAATAGAGGGTAAACGGAGACGAGAATAAAGGCAGAGAGGAGATACTGAAATAATTGGGTCCTTTGTAGCAGACTACACTTTTAGAACAGTAGCTTTATATAGCATTTGGCTCACTGTTGTTGCTGTAGCATCTATTCTTTCCTCTGTTGTTTTCCTGTATACCAGGTGGTTTGTCTACTCAACTGAAGAAGCCACTTCATGTCTATGATTCTATGTGTGTATAGTTCAAAGCACCTTACAATTCTTACAGTGTATCTGTGCTTCCAGTCACTTCTTTTGATGCTTATAAGCCTGATTTAGGGCTTTCTTTGGGGTTTCTGCAGAGAACTACCTTTCCTTACTATTTCCAAGTCATTCAAAGAGTATTTTCCTCCTTCTTCTTCCCTATCCTTCTTAACAGAGATGCAGGGGTGCGTTTTCTACTCTATTTTTCAGTATGTAAATATTCAGTACTACCCATTACATTCTGGTCTCATTTGCTTAGTCCCTTTGAGTGGAGTCTATAATTTTCGTAATGCCAAGCAAGGCTGAAAAGTTCTGTGGGCTACAGGATCCTTTTGTTTCTCATGTCTCTTTTTGTATGCAAAGCATTCATACAAGGCTGGGTAGTGAATGGCTCTTTGTCCAGGAGCTGGTGAGAACAGAGCAGTGGAAGTCTGCAGAAATGCTGTTCTTTACATCAGATGTATCATTAACTCCTCCTAACCCGTATTTAATGACCTGTTGTTCATGCAGAGCTCTTGCATTGAGAGATAGACAGAGGTTTACAGCTGGCAATATAAAAAAGCATTATATACTTCTCCAGTTTTGTACAGAAAATTGCCTGCTCTTTATTACTGTGTTATGGATTAATATTATAAAAATCAGCATGTGTCTCTCAAGTGGGATTTAAATGCACATGCCTATGTTCTGCAAATACGTATTTTATATTTCATACAATACTAGGTCAGTGACACTGAGTCATCTCAATTAATTTTGCTTTAAGAATTAATGGAAAGTCTTGAAAAAATGAATACAAAAAGGTAATTGTTATTAAAACACTGACGCTTTCTTTGTATATTTCTCCCAGCGGGGGGAAAAATGTCTGTTGTCTATTGGCTGAGATATATTTTAGTCATAGGTAATTGTTATTAAAACACCGACGCTTTCTTTGTATATTTCTCCCAGCAGGGGGAAAAATGTCTTTTGTCTATTGGCTGAGATATATTTTAGTCATCTTACCTAGCAGATAGCAGTGGAGAGCTAAATTCTCTCCCTTTAGCAACAGGACAGGAGGAGCCATCATAGTGTGTAATGAACATTACATTAGCAGCATGTCTTGATTTGGTCCTGGGCAATGTCCACTGAGAAAGCATCAGCACATCTCTCTAAATATCCCCCTTATGCTCTTTTTGTATCCTCTTGGTAAGATGTTACCCAGGGTTATAATATTTGAAAATGCAGGACAATCTTCAGGTCTGCAAGAAAAATGTTGAAACCAATAGAGTTAAATCTAATAAAAAATAGGTTAAACTTTACACTTCAGCCTAGCAAGTTGTTGGAAGTATTGTTCTTAAGGCTCCTCTGATGTGCTCCATCCTTGCAGTAAAGTGGTAGGAAGTGTCTCAAATAGTTAATATGATTCACTTTGAATTGCAAACACTAATAATGAGTGTTTAGGGTATGATTGAGAGCAGAGAGAGGCCAGGTAGGTTTAAGTGGTGAATTTTCGGTGTAGCTGAGAGTCAGAAAGAAGGTATCTGTTCAATTTTACCACTTCAGTAGTGCTGATCCCAAAAGAAAAACAGGCAAGGTTTGAAATTGCTTGGGAGAACACAGGAGAAAGCACCGAGGCCATTGATGCACCAACAAATCTCAGAATAAGATTGACAGCCATTCTTGCAATGGTTTGTCTGTGAATGCTCCTGTTGTGATTCACTGTGACCACCAAGGGATTGAGGTGTTATTCAGCATATTTAGGAGTGGGTTCTTACACCATTGTCAGTTTAGCTAAGCTTATTTTTTCCTTTAGATGTTTGGATTAGCTCTATGAAATTGTACTGGCAAAATGGGTTATCCTGTATGTACTTCTTAAGGACTCTTTCTATTTTAAGAAGTTCTTAAAACCTATTATCTCATAGGACCAGCAGGACTGTTCCAGGATAACCAAGAAGAATTTGGGCTCTTTAAACACAAATTTGCAAGTTTTTATGCATGTGTTACACCTGCTTTTTTCTGGACAGATAAAATGTTGAGATTTCCAAAGTGAGAGCTTGGGTTGAATGAGAGACAGTGTAATGGTCGAAGTCTTCACCACTGATGTGAGAACTTGGGTTGAATGAGAGACAGTGTAATGGTCAGACTAAGCTACTGGGGTCAAGCAGTCGTGGTTTTGTTCTCAGCTTTGTCACAGATATGCAGTAACAACTGGAGCAAATATTTTTTTGTTATGTCTACCTGCAATGTACTTGGAGATGCAAGAACTGGTTTTAAATGAGCTGTTTTAGATAAAGCAAGTGGTCTTGGTGCAATACTCTCAAGGCTAAATAAGCCCGAGCTGACCTCCTTATGACTGTGGCTACGCTGCTCCCATCAGAGGGGTTACTTGTTTGCCTTTATTAGTCTGGGTTTACAGTGCACTGGAATGTATGCAAAGCTTCTCCCTCTGCCTCAGTTTCCCCATCCACAGTGGACTTGTCCAGTGTTAAGTCCTTGTCATAAGATTGTTGAATCTTGAGTTCTTATTTGAAAATGTTGTGTAAATCTGAGATTGTGAGCCATGGTAGGGCAGAATATATTGATATTCTGATAGGAGAGTAATGGATCATGGTGCTAAAACGCGTTATTTACAATCTAGCAGAGCTGCTGGTGACAGCTTGAATTCAATTACACTACTTGACTTTCTGTAAGGATCTGGGATTCTTACATATGAAGCCTTAGACTGATACTTCGGAAGAACAAAAAACTACCTCTTATTTTTATCCTTTGAAATAATTTGGATTAATTTGTTATCATTCTGACATGAACCTTCTGGACACAAACCGACAGCCCGCTATATTTTCTCTATCTGATGTTAGTAGGATGTTGTAGCACAAACACTTAAAGATGCACTTGTTCTCCTTACTATTCAGATTAATTGCAGGTGCCTGACACAATTAGTTGAGAACAGAATGTGTAATGTGCCTTATTCTGGACTGTGGGTAATTGTCTGCCTTCATTAAAGCTGCCTGTAAGGAAGCATGAAGTTCTTTATGGAGCTGTATGTGTGAAACAATAGGCACTCCCATTGAAAATGAAGTCCATAATCCTGCCTTCAAGGCACATGCGCTGCCTGGGTAGGTAAGGGATTTTGCTTTGTGCTGTTGGAGTTGTGCCCATGGTTTCCTTTTTCCCAGTGGCTTTTTCCCCAGTGCCGTGGGCCATTCCCACTCATGACAACTGTGTCAGTAGTTTTGGCACAAGTGGGTACTTGCCACCTAGAAAACTTTGTGTGAAATCACGCTTGGGGTTAGAAGGAATGGCAAATACTAGAGAAAGAGAAGCTGTATTGGGCACAGTGGTTGTGTTAACTGCCTTGTGGCACACTGGGAATATTGCTCTGGGAAAGGATGGAGTGAAAATGGGCAGAGAGGGTCTTGGAGCTGTGAGCAAAGAAACTGGTTTTGGTTGATTTCTCCTGTATGCGAGGTGCTTCATATAAATTTAACAAATTATCTTTGAAGATAATGGCTGTTTCTAGGGTTTTTTTCATCCTAAATGAAATAATCTTCAAGTTCCTTCATTTTGCCCAACTGTTGGATTCTATATTTGTAGTTTGAGCTAGAAACACCTTTTAGTTATTTATGGTAATTATATATGCATTATAGTATTTGGGATTTCACTTTTATTCAGTAGAGGTTCCTCTAAACACCTATCTCATTTTTCAGATATGGAAACCTGGAGGCTTTAACCTGTGAAGATGGAAGCCAGAATTCCTCTGAATCCAAAACGGTCCTCAAGAGGTGAGTGTGGTTTTGCACCGTTACAGCGAGCGCCAGTCAGGATTTGGCACTAGGGGAGGATGTGGGCAGCAGAGCTGTTGTTTCCTTTGAAAATTCATGGCACTATTTGCTTGCTTAAACAAGCTGGTGTAAAGGCCAAATATCAATTGGGTGTCTTGTAACACACCCAATAATACAACCCAGAGATCTTTCTGTCAGGGAAATTGTCTCAGAATTAAACATGAGATGAGCACATTTAGGCCAACTTTTTGTTCATTAAACAAACAAGAAGTGTTTGTTTCCCTTGCTTTATCTATAGCAGTAAATGATTATTGCTTATGACTGATTTTATTGTGCATTACAACAGCATCTGCAGACCAAAACAGAGGTTGGTTCAGGCAATGTGTGTACGCATGTATCTTTTCCATTAGTGCCCCTATGATTCACAGTGTTGATTTTAGAGTGAAATCTAAATTCTGAAGTCATCCTAATTTGCAAGAAAAACAGCAAATTTGTTTTGAAGTGTAGTTTAAATGAGGGGGGGAAAAGCGGTTTGGTTATCCTCCTAGCATTATGTGAAACTGCATTTTATCTTTACAGACTGGGTGTAAAATGTGCCTTTAGGTCATCAGCATTTGTACTTTGACATCTGTATGATCTGTGGTTTGCATGTATCGTGGCAGTAAAAAGTAGCTGCGTCGTTATATTTGATTACAGTATGTGGTGGTGCTTGATTCTTGTCAGCATTACTGAAGTTTTTCTTTCTATGAATTTATCTCAGCTTCCATTAGTTAAGAAAACCTTGATTATTTTTTTTCGCATTGCACTGATTTCTCAAGGTGTAATTGAAGAAGCAGCCTTTGGTTTCTTTTTGTTTTGAGATGGAATAAAAATGTTGAATTTTTCTGTCATGAGATACACAGTCCAATCAAGACAGAGAAATACACTGCAGTGTTTTCATTCCTGAGATTCAGGGAGGCTGTTGATTCAAATCACACTCTATTCTACAATATTGGGCTTGTCCTTCCCACTGCTTGCCTCCGTGCTTTTCTGATGGCCTGTGTGTTCGGATAAGGGGGTTTCAAGTCTGGCTTAAAATGGTCCAAATATGTGCCAGTCCAGAAATGTGCCATTAACATACTGAACACCTTCCAGTTCTCCACTGTCTGAATGGAGTGACTAGACAGCGGGGTTGCTTTGCCTTCTGTCATCCATGCGGAAACAGTTTTGTTTAACCACCAGAGATAAATTGGTAAAAGCTCCTTGGCTGTGAGCGTTTCAATAGCTGTCTCTGAAAACACAATGAATTATGCTTGCTCGCCTGCAGAAGAAATGTAGAGCTTAATTAATATCTGTAAACGATACAGGATTCTCAAAGGCTTTAGTTAGAAACAAAATGTTATTGCATGTTAATTTTAATTTTTTTTAGCACTTAGCAAGGCCAGAAAGCTACAAGCTCTGATAACTTAGGCTGTTCCTCTTGCCCCACGAGACTCCACATGGGAGCTCAATTCTCCGATTCTTTCCTGGCTGATGTAACAGAGAGCTATCAATGTTTTTCTCCCACTTTGCCATGAGAACTTATCAAAGAGCAACTGCTAGTTAAAACTTGATCACAAGCACCCAGAAGGCAGTATTATGTAGTGGATAGAGGCAATAATAGGCAGCCGGGAGGTTCCCACACTTCCATCCAAAATGAGCTTTAGGATCTCTTCCAACTTTGGGCAAACCATTTGACCTCCCCCTATCTCAGTCAGTCCAGCCATAAAATATGAACTAAAGCAGGACCCTTCCAGCAAAATAGATGAAGTATTTATATTGGGAATGAGAAAGGTAATTTCACCAGTATAAATCGTGTTAGGATTAATCCTCCAACTGCCTTTTCATGGACCCAAAGAAACTTGATTACAAGTTGGAGAGAAAAGGGGTGAAAGTAATCTTGATGTTAGTGTCACTCAGGCTTTGGGCAAAATGCATCAATTTTTCGTTACACCTGGAGGTGAGCATGCAAGTTAAATAACATTTAGTAGGAGTGTATTTGTGTTGTTGGTTTTTTTTTTTTTAATGGAGAAGGAAAATGTCTGGTGTATATGAATAGGGTTTTGGTTTTTTTTAATGGAATTGTCTTCCTACCAACATAGACATACTTTATCATATACCCCCTGCCTAGTTGCTTCCTGCTGCATCCATGCTGTCATCTCTCTTGGCATGTAATTGCCATGTAATGCCCCTGCACAGCCAGGGACTGACAAATGGAAGGAGTCTGTTGTCCTATTTCTGTGGTAACACAACTTCTGATGAGTTTATCTGATATAATTTTCATTAATATAGGCTGCACAGCTGATTTTGACCCTTTGGCCCTTGTAGAATTCCATTTATGTCTGAATTTGATACCTGTTACCCAACTACTTATTTATAGAAAGCTCAACAATAAGGTTGTCAACAAAGTAATTTGTCAAGTATAGATGTTTTAACAGATCCTGTATAAATGTTAATTCACTTTCCTGCCTTAAAAATTTCCATTGCTCTCAGTTGTTCTGGCTACTTGTCTCTTAGATATAATTAGTGGTATCTGGAAAAGAGGTTGGCTTTGTAGTCTTGTTGTGAAACACGTAGTTCTAGTAGTTCAGGTTTTCTCTTGTCTGGGATAATTCCAATATAATTGCATTTGCCCTCTTTTCTCATAGAACAAAAACATGATATAATTGTGCTCTAAGTTTTATATGACTTGGAGAAATAAGAGGAAGAAGGAGTAGAGCCATGTGCCATTAACTCTGTATTTCTCAGAGGAAAAATATCTGATGGGGAAGCCTGTGGGCTGTTGCCAGAGATATTCTGTATTCGTCAGACTCCCGTTGTGACAGTTCAGATGCCTTAGAAATCCATTCAGGTCATTACAAATGGGGATGCAATTTAAGCATCTCCACAGGCTTGACACCAAAAAAAAAAGCTACAGAAGTTAAAAACAACTGCAGGAGAAGAATGTATGGCTCTTTATGTGTCTCATGGAGCTTTAAAGAAGAGAGGATTTTTTTGCAAAATATTAGGTACTATGGTAGGAATATTATGTTGAACGTGGTATGCTGTGAGCTGACAGCTTGCTATGTTGGAATTCTCTTTGATTTTTGTACTTGTAGTATAGAGTTGTGACATGATTTGAGAAGGAAAATGTCTGGTGTATATGAATATATATGTACTTTTATTATTATTCTAGCATACCAGCCGGTGTTCATGTAACTCAGAACCTGCAAGTCCGACGCTAGGGCTTCAGCACACTTAAGTCACAGCTTCGTTTGAGAGACCTGTGGGAGCTACAAACCTAACCTTGTGTTGCCAAATTCTGGGTCTGAGCCAACAGTTACTTCTCACACTTGTTGCAGTGACATATAGTTGTTAGTGACCCAAGATCACTTCAGCTATGTTCGGAAACATGCCTTCTAAGGATCCCTTCTGCCAAGGGGATTTTCACTTGGTCACTTAAACACAACTCCTATCATTTTTGGGCTGCTGGAGTGGTCAAAAAATCATTCTTTTTTAACAGGGATCCAACTTAATTATATCTAACACAAAATGTCTTTTGGCCTTTTTATTATTATTTCCCTTTTCTTTAAAACTGCGTTCAATAATACACAAATTAAACAAAGGTACAGTAATTTTGTAACTTCAAAAATACAGAGACGGTTTGAAGCTCTGAACACTGTCAAAAGTTTTGTGAGCTTAAAAAAAAAGTGCCATGCGTGACTGTAAGCTTTAGCTTAGCTTTTTTTTTTTTTTTTTTTTTGGTATTGGGATCTACTTTAGCTTTTCATGTTCAGTAGCTTGTTTTCTCACTACTTGCAGTCAGTCAGAAAGTTCATGATCACAAGTAAAAGAAGAATAAAGTCCAGAAAAGGTCAGATACTCCAGTCAAATGTCTGAGTTCAATGGACTTCAGCCTGTGTTCCCAGAAATATGATGCCATACCTCTCTTAATTGTCTGATAAGAGAGTTGTAAGGAGTAACTTACTTGACCGTCTATCTCCTCTTATAAGCAATTCTTTTTGCTCTTCCTTGCATTATATAAACAAGACGGCCTGGTGTTGTTCCTCAGTTCTGCATGTTTTTGTGTCAAACTGTGACAGAGTTGCCTCTTCATCTTAGTTAGGTTGTCATTGTCTTTGGAGTTCTCTGTGTTCGCTACGATTTTTTTTTGCTTAAGATTTCTGTTGACTTTCAAAAAGAAAACACACCAAGACATGACAATTCAGAATAAAACCATACATACATTAAAGACAAAGAAAAATTATCAGCATGATTAATAGCATTAAGAATTAGAGAGAGGTCTGTATGATAGCACACGACATGAACTGTAGACAATTTTTACTATAATTCACTTTGGTTTTTAAGTTAGGTTTTATAGTGGGTGGTTTGGAGCACGTCACCTGGCAAAAAGCAAATGAGGGAAGAAAGTAGAGAAAAAGAAATTAAGTACTTCCTCTTGCTCATGTCTGATTTGAAGACTATAGAGACCATACCAGCCAGCAGTCACGGGGAACTTAAAAGAGATGGTCACGTTCAAGCATCTTTCCTTATTTTGAGAAAGGGATCAGCAATCCAAGCAACTAATGCTATTTGGGGCCTTCAGTCCTCCTGAAATGGTTGTGTGTTGCCTACAAGATAGTTAGAAACAATGCTTTTGGTGATATGACCTGATCTATTCAGAGCAGGAGAGTTCCTCAGTTAACTTTTAACTTGCTGTTAAAAGGTTGAGCTTTCTATACAGAATGATCTGTGAAATAACTTGTGCCCTATTTCTCTCCCCCTACTGAAAGATGGTGTTAATTCTGATCTCTGGGCAATCCAGTGCTGGCAGACAACTATACCCAAACCACAGACTCTATGAAATTTAAAGAGGTGATGTACTAAAGGAGCAGAACACTTCTTTCCCTGAACTTAGGCATTAAAGACTTGGCTGGAGCTGGTTGAGGGCAGAGAAAGAACCACAAAGCCTTTGAAATATAAAATATAATAGCTGCTTCTAT